GGGGGGGGGGGGGGAACGAGGCGGAGGTGGTCTGGAGCCCATTTTGTGGTCTCTTGCTTTCACTAAACCAGGAGGAAATGTGTTTTGTGTTGGCATTCAGAGGATCTGTCTGGCCCTATCAGAACAGGAGGTCGGGGGTCGGGTTGAACAGTAGATAAACTGGACAACAGCTGCGGAAAGATGGCAAGCAGCTTAAAAATCCACAGGAGTGATTAAAAGCAGGGCTTTCATTCATGTAAACATGACTCATTTTTAACACTTAACACCAGACTTTATTGACCTTATGTTTACATGCCATTAAATTATCTACTTCCCAACAGTGAAATGCAGTTTTTTTTTTCATATTTAAACAGCCCAACCCATTTATTTTAATTAAATTCAAGAACATTCTTCAAAGGTAGGTCGGCAGGGTAAAAATGATGGAGAGAAACGACCCAGCTTCCAGTCTAACAGCCCACTTCCTTAACTGTCCTGCATGGGGTGACTTATTGAAATTACATGATAAATAATACACTTGCAGTATAAGGATTTTCACCCTCTTCAAATGCTGTGTCAGTTCCCGTCTCTTTGTTTGACCACTGTGTTTCCCACAATTCTCAGCTGCGTGCCGGCAAATGGTTTAGAACAAGGTTCCAATCGCGGCCCATACCTGCATCGTGTCGTTTTTTAACAGTGTGGGGGGTGGGGGGGGACACACATTGACGATCCATGTCTGACGTCAAGGAAGAAGGACTTCAGAGGCAAATAAGCAAATCAGGAAAATGCTTTTCCAAGTGTGTTTGTACAAGACAGCCTCGCTCTGCGTAAACAGACGAGGGGAGGTTTTCCAATTAAAAGCACAGAGTTAGTAACCCCCACTGACATTAACATGGGCATATTTTTCCAAGTAATTGTGGTTACATTTATGTAGGAAAAAGGAGTGCTATTCTTACAGAAACTGGCTTCGTGGTTAGTGGCTTAATAATATAAAGGGGAACAATTAGTTTTTTGACAGCAGTGACTTGTGTATGTTTTAGAAGAAGGATCAAACAGCATTTCCATGGTTTTTAAGACTAACCGTGAACAAATCAAGGTTTAGGTTTGTGGATACATGAATTGCAGTGCATGGATCGTCTGTTTTTTCACAAACCGGTGCTTTCCTTAGCTCCTAGTTGGTAGTAGGTAAATCGAATTCGGCTCTGGCCTTTTGATAAAAAAATAATTTATTCAAGGAAAATGGTTCATTTCACGCATAAATAATAAATCAGATTTTTCTTCATTTTAGTTGACTCTGCCAGAGGATTTTAAATATTCTGCTGTATGCATATTGATCAATCAACTGCCCACTTCACAGATCTATCCAATTTTTAAAAACTGAACAGAAAACATTTTTTTTTTTTTTTTAAATAAAATCAGTCACAAATACCAGTTAACGGAGATAATCAGGGCTTACGGGATCTCAACGAGCAGGAAAAGCCAAACAGTTTTTTTCCTCTCAGAGTCTGTCTTGCCCACAGCAGCGCCCCCTCCTGGGTGACATCTCGCCCCACCCCCAGTTTGCCGTAAGTATGCCAGCTCGGGATGCCTGGCCCCATTCTCTGTCGTACTCTTAGAGCAGGGCTTCCTCGCGGCGTGAGCGCTCATTTACCACTGTCGCCCTAGTGCTCCGGACTGCAGGGCTGTCGACGTCCTTGTTAGAAACCTTGTAGGATTGTATGTTTCCCTTCCGATGTTCTTCCTTCAGAGACTCTGTAATAGACTCGGAGCACTTAAAGTTATGTAGGACGCAGGCTTACCTCGGACACCCATTCGCTTCTCTGTCCGCCCCCTCTGCCTTGTTCTCTTTTCCCCTCACATTGCTTCCATCTGTCAAGTGGATACCTATTATATTTTTAATAAAATGAATAACATGCATTCCTCGTTCTGTTTGCTATCTTGCCTCTTTTCTTTCACTCAAATCTTTTTCCTCTTGTTCTTCCTCGGTGCTTCCTTCTGTTTCTGTATCCCTTGCCTTCATTTCTGCTTTTCATCTCCCTACTTTCTCTCTCCATCTCTCACTTTGCTCCGTTTCTTTGCTTCTCTCGCTCTCTCGGTCTCCTCACCCCCGATTAGCTTGGGCAGCAGAGGTTAGATTTATGTTCCCTCTCCAGGGTTTGATCGCTGTGACTTTGAGGTGTCAGGTCAGTGCTGGGTGTTGCTTTCAGGGATTCTTGGCTTCGTGCAGCTTACAGTTTATCACCTCCGAAAAAGGAATTGGTGTTTGGACAGGTGCTGGGGGAGGGGGGGGCTGCTCTGTGGTGTCGAGAACTTGCATTTTTCACCTGTGCCAGTGACATATAGTTTGGCTCAACTCCTCTCCCTGGGGCCTGGTTAAATTTAAACAGTCCATTTCGAGCACTGCTGCATTTTCACCTGTGTTTGGATGTTTGCATCTGCTGGTATGCAGCCTCCTTAAGTAATATGTACGTCCTAGTCTTGTGGTTGCTCACCCTGTTAGGCGCAAGTTTTAAGGTTATTTCCCCTTGTAGGATTGTTGCATTAAACAAATTTTTGCCTCTGGATTTACATCCCCAGACACTGTTCTACATGATTAGTGTACTTTTCATCTAATTTGTTTTGGTTGCCATCATAGGTCCCCCAAATGTTTAGAAAAGGGGAGACTATCCCCCTCAATACTATCAGATATAACATAATGCTTGGTTTACAAAAAAAATAAAAATATATGATAAATATATCTCATCACATAATTTACAGATTTTTCTGACAGTCTTCACCTAGAGAACCCCTGCCTTCCGTTAATTAAAATGGTTTACTCTATACTCCAGCTCTGGGCTGTGTGTCCCAAAAGCACAGCTGCAACTTACATTGTTGGGAAATGTGTCCCTGGCGGGCAGACACTCACTTACAGACCTGCGAGTGAAGAGACAACAGGCGTAGAGAGTGGTGAGCGGGAAAACACTGCACGGCTTTCAGTGTAAGCTTAATTCACTGATGACCTCGTATCATAACCAACAGTTAGTCAATAAAAGATTGTGTGAAATATTGGAATTTAATCGTCCCTTGTCCATCAATTTTCTTGAACATTATCTTATTTGGAAACTGCAACTAGCTTGGTTAGTTGACAGCATACCACAAACAGCAATGCTGATAACGTAGCAGTGAATTGCGTTTATGTCACAATTCTCATCCCACTGTGTTTGCTGGTAGGACATAGGAATGAGTAAGATGTCCATCAAAGACGGGGCCAAACCTGGCATTTATTTGGAAAATGCCATAAAGTAAGCAACTGAGTTACCAGAAACTCAGAATCATTTTGTTCATAAACAGTGCTGGCATAACATCCAGCACTTTTTATGAACGGAGCAATCGCTAAGAAGGGATTCAATAAATCCCCTATTTAATGAAATTTATTTTACTTATATCAATTTCCAAGGCGCTAGTTAATATGTGTTTTGTTTGTGCTAGTGATTTTTTCCATACAGTTAGGATGTGTTTTTGAGAGAAGACAGGGTGCAGGAGAGTGACAGGGGCATCATAGTGGAGCCTGAGGTGAGGTCATTTTTCCACAGTGCATGGCCTGACAGTCGTGGCGCAATCTCGCAATCTGTGCATAATCTTAATAATTCTTAATAATAGTTCAGCATAATGGGGAACAGTACCATCCTTAAACTGCCATATTAGTCTAATATCAGGTCAGGCCTGGTTGGGGAACATGCACCGTTACAGTGTGACCCACTGCCCACCACACGACGAAAGATGAATCTGAGTAAAAAATGGAAAGATGACTATCACTTTATAGATTGTAATTGTAACAGCAATAGTTTACGAATAAAAAAAACAAACAGCGCGACTACAAAATCGCCATATAATGCGACGTGACGTCACACCTCTGACCCCGATACACCTGCCCCCCTCACCCTACGCCTGGTTACCATGCTATTTCCCTAGTTCATATTTCTTTAGTTTGCAGACTTAAGCCCTATTAGGACGGGATTAGTTTTACCTGGGGACAAAATGTAATTGAAGCAATTACATACAAGGTCCGTTATTTTTAATCCGAATCTGCCATGTCTGTAATTATTACAAACCTCCACGGTAAAAAAATCAGCAGCGAATTTCATTCTATATTTCAGTGAAAACGGACCTCTTTGGGTAATAGAAGTCCAGTCTGAATTCACGGGCGTATGAACCCAGGGGGGGGGGGCGTGCATTTCATTTGTTCCTCCAAAAAAAATAGAACTTCATATTTAAATTGTTATGCCCCCCCAGTATTAAACTCTCTCCTAAGCATTTGGCCGCATTGCCGTATCGGTTATAAGTACATGTCTATAAAGCCACGCCTCTTTCTTGTTAAACGGAATCAGCATTTTATTCGTTAAAAATTTAGCTTGGATGGGTACTGAGTTTTCAATATAAACGCCTGAAAACCAACATCTACCGTAGGTGCACAGCAGCACAACAGTACTGAGTAACGCCGATTTGTAAGCAACTGTACGGTATTTGTTTGATTAGTATTTTAACGATATGATTAGTATTTGTTTGATTAGTATTTTAAAGAGTCTGGTCATCCAAAAATGAAAATTCTGTTGTCATTTGGTTTTAAGATGTGCTAACTCTGACGTTAGCATCCGTGCGGGATTAGTTTTATCTCCGCTATCTCTGGTAATTTGGGGAAAATTACACACGTTTCTTCTCCTGTCCGAATCGGTCAGACTAATCACTTTACAAACTATACACCGAACCCCCTTAGGTAAAACTAATCCCCTCCGAATTAGGTTACTTCATCAACATGGTTTTCCGTAAGATTCATGTCTACACAAGTTGAGATTCTGATCTGAATCTCATACATTTGTCTCAGGTATAATTTACCGTATAAAGTGTACAAAAAGTCCGGGATGTGTTCATAGGAATGCGGGGTCTCGGCATCTCTTCTCATGGGCTGAAGGCCGGGTAATCGGCCGTGGCCATATTCTTGTATTCATTTCGTATAGCTCATTAAAAAAATAAAACGTTACTTATCCAGATGTACTCTTTTCCTCCTGAATACCTTGTCTTTCCTCACGACGTAATGGACAGACGCACCAGAACTTGACAGACGCATCTGACCTTAGTTTCAGGGCGTTACTTGTTATTCTGGGGTCGAGTCGGCGTCGGTGAACTGCAGTCTGCCGAATAACTGCAGGTCCGGCGCGCGCGGCTACTTATAGCTTCTTATAGCACCGATGGAAATTTGGTGGGAAAATGTTTCGTGGCCGTAAATTTTTTGGGAAAAAGCACCTTTTTAATTTAGCCTATATACGTTCTGCGGTGTTTATGTAGCCCACTAAGCGTTTATTTAGATCAGACTGTGATCTACAAAACGACATTTTTAAACGGTGATTTGTATCTGTATTAGAAATTATTTTAGTCAGGCCTGCGGTTTGAGAGGTTAACTTGTTATTTCATGCTTTCTAGTTATCAGACCATACAGTGCTTGTGTTTTGCCCCAATATTTATTTAAATAGGGAGCTCCTTAATCTCTTAAACATGGACTGATTTACTGCTTATTTAAAAGATTTAATAATTTAATAGATTGTTCTGTTTGATTCTCCAGTATAAATTAACTGAGAGTGAAAACAACACGAATTAAATATTTACACTACCTCTATGCCAAATTCGGGTGTTTCGCAAAAACCGAAGCATGAGTATGCCATAGGTAACTACAGTCTTTCTAGTCATTATATGGTACATTAAAATGTAATTTTTGTTGTGAATAAGAAAACGTTTTTAAATTAGAATAGAATACCTTTGTCATTGCACAAGTACAACTGTCACTGCACAGGTGCAGCGAGATTTAGTTTACAGCTTCCGTACTCGATTTTATTACAGATAATAAATTAGCTAAAAGTAGATGTTATGCAGATATGCAGTAAGCTATATATTTATATCCTATGCTATTATATAACGCTTTCACACCACTGTGGATTTGCGTAGATCAGATTTGTGTGTTTTTGGACAAATATTTTAATTGAACGAAATAATCTAGGTTACTGCACCGATTTGTTCATTTGGTTCAATGAGTGGTTCCCGATTCGATCTGTGTGATTGATCGTTTCGGTCAGGAGTAAAGCTGGCCTATATCATAACGTCAAAAAGACCGAAAAAGCCACTATGGCAAGTATAATAATTTAATTAAACTGATGTACCATATCAGGGTTGCCAACTTTAGTCAGACTTAGCGTGAGATTTCCAGTTCGAGGCAAGTCAGCACACGCATTTACATGTATGTAATAATTTTATTACTTTGTAAATAGTCTGTAAAGTTTGCAAACTGCCCCAAAGCTTTTTATGTAATTTTAGGTTTGTAGTGGATGGAATAATATAAATTTACGGTAAGTTTTTTTGCGGGAGCGCGACAGTCTGAAGGCGTGAGTGTCATGCCAGATGCCTGAGAGCTGGCAACAATGTAATATACAATGTATATTTTTTTAATTAGGCCTATATTTAAATATACAGTAAGCTTAAGTAGGAGAAGGAGACACATATGCTGAAAAATTTCCTAAAGAGACCTCCCCGTGTCTGAAGTGAACGAATCGTTAAAGCAGATTCCAATTTCCTATCTCTAGTGTAGATCCTGAAACGTTTGCATGTTCGGAAATCACGAGTTATTAGGTTCCTTTCATATTCCTTCAAAACGCCGGCTTTTTTAGGTGCTTCGAAAGCCTAATGCTCCCAGACACATCCCGCTGTCGAGTTTTAAAGGTGAGAAATGAGTGTTTACAGCGAGCGGGTCAGGGTTTCACCCGGGGACCTGCCCTCTATTGATCCCGTCTTGCTGGTATCGGAGCGATCGCTTTTATACAGTGAACTGCAGAGGAGATGAACTCCGTGTGCAGGATTGGCTGCCAAACAAGCGCGTCTCTCCGCCGTTTTATTTCTGTGCCGATTCTCCCGGTGCTGGTGCTATAACAGAAGCACCCTGGACGTGATCTGGACAGACTGCGTCTCCCTGACTAACGACGGGGATCAGTATGTCATGCGGGTGTTTCTGCGTTTTATCCATTTGAAGAAGTCGGTGCGTCATTCCTTATAGACAGCATCAAATTCTAACTTTTCGATTGTGTTTTTCCTCTGTGTGTAGGAGTGTGTCTGCGCGCGCATGCGTGTGTGTCGTCAGCATACAGTTTTCTGAGTGCTTTTCAGCCCAACAGCGTTTTTTTTTAAGTACTTATCTATTTTGAGATCTAGTAGGATTCTTGGTATCGTTTTTGATTAAAATATAATTGTATCTTACGTCTGTTAGCCTCAACGTAATATCAAACAGTATCCCAAAATGATGAGGATGTATGTGAGATGTTTGCATTTAAAATATAACACTCTTTAAATGTTAGCAATGTTTCAAAGCTCGTACTGAACTCTCCAAGGGGACAATGGTCTTATCTTAGCCTGCACAGATACTTAAAATATAACGGGAAAAGAACTAAAGACAATATGAAATGAACGTGGTCCCTTATCTTACATCAAACATAAAAATACTATGCAAATATGCTAATTCGATTTCCTATTCCAGAGGCATACTGGGATTGTTTGTGCTTTGTAAAAACCTTTCTGAAAGGAAATGCATTTGTACTCCATATAATAAATCGGAGACCCTGCTAAAACAGTAAAGTGTGATTGGAGGACAGCTGTTGGTTTTGATCTTTATAGTTGTATAGCCAGTGTTTTTTTTCTTCCCCTTTCCTGGATAAAATTATCTTTGTGTGTAGTTAAACCGAACAGCTTAGATAGAGGCAAGGGCATTTTTTACATCTAAAGCGTGGGCTGCTCTTGCATCCGTGGTTTGCACCACCACACACTGCCATTAAAGTTGCTGAATGCCAGCTATAAGACTCTCTGTTTTGTTTGCTGTTTTTATTTATTTTTGCTACTGAAAGGCAGCTGTTTTGGTGCATGGCTTTGTAAAGCCATGTTTAAATGCTCTGCTCCACAGAATATTGTCTTACTTGTTTTAATTTAATTTACTTTTTAAATTAAAGGATGGGGAGCTTCAGAGGTGGGCAGCTGCTGGCTTCTTGTCATTTTATTTGATCGTTTTTTCCAAGGAGATGTGCATGCATGTGCGTGGGTGTGTGTGTGTGGCTGTTGTACGTCAGCTCGTCATCGACGGACGTGTCCTGTCCTCCTCACATGCCCTCTGCTGTCCTCTCTTGTGTGTCTGACCCCCCCCACCCCCCCGCCCGCAGGAGATATGGATGGCCACTGGTGGGACCACGCTTGGTGGCATGGCAGCGAGGCCTCCACAATGTCTTTGGTGAGACATGCGGAGTCCTGCTCTGTCCGGAGTCCTTCGCCATTTCATGTTTCCTTTGTTTTATTTACACTTCTGCATGTTTTTTTTCTGTTTTTTTCTTTCTTTGTTTTATCCCACACCTGTAGGGGGCAGTCAAAGGGGAAAAAGAAACACTCATGAGCAGGCAATTTTGTTGGACTCGGCTTACACCTTATCTGAGAGGCAAAAGAAAACGGTGCGTTTTGGGGGCCGTTCGTTCGAAGAGGACTTGGAATTGTGCGAACCCCAAGTTAAAGACTCTGGCGTTGATACATGCAGTAGCACAACGCTAAATGAGGAGCATAGCCATAGTGAGAAGGTACTTGGACCATTTAGCCTGCATTTTGTTTATTTATTTTTTTTATTTATCTATTCGTCTGGTCTTTGTTTGCTCTCTGTCACTAACTGTATATAGGTGAGCTGTTTAAACCTATTTTTCTTTCTCTTCTTTGATTTATAAGATATATAAATTTTGAGCTTTTGTTTGATTTCAGGGTTAATCTTCGGCAGCTCTCCCAGGGGCGTTGCCGAAAGAGAAAGTGGGGGACCCTCTGGCTCACTTGACTTTTCGCTCTGCAGTGGAAATTTGCTTTGAGAAACCGAAGACAATTTAAATAATTTTTTTTTAATGACTATGACAAAGACTAAACAAAATTTAGAGACATGTCACGTTTGTCGTGGCACACAGGGATGTGGGTACCCCAGCTGCATGTCTGTCTCTTTGAATAGTTTTGTGTTGTTGCCGTGGAGATGACATCCCGAATCCCTTTGGGGAACACTTCTCACCCGGGCTGATGTCCCGTTACTGTTATGAAATCCCCCCTTCCCTTACCTACAACCCCACTCAAGTCGTCGTTTCCCCCAAAGAGCCACCCAGGTTCAGAACTAAATCAAAACAAAGCACACTGTTTTATTTGAAATTTTTTATGAGGGAAAGACTGGATTTTGTTTTGCATAGATAGAATTATGTTTTTCTTTTTTCCCTTCCACTGTCATTTCTGTGAGTTTTATTTACTATTCTGTGACCATTTTACTACTTATTTTTTGTTCCATTTTTGGTTCTGATTCTCCTTCCTGCTTTTATGGATTTGTTTCGGCGTTTTTTGTCTGTGCTCCACCTGCCTCTGAGCTGTTCGGCGGGGGTGCGGATTTTGGGCCGGCTCCCCTCCGCTTGCCAGTCTGCATGGACTGTTGCATGCCTCCGTCACCCTCCCCCATATGTGAGGTCACTGTGACAAACTCTGAGCCTAAACATTGACCAAAAAAATGTGCAGCACCGTCAAACGTTCAAGACTCTAGCTGTGAATCCTTGATTCTCCCAGAACTCTGATTCTAAAAAGCAGTAAAGCATAAACACTGTACTTCCCACTCCCAGTTATTAGCTCAATTGAAAATTAACATAGACGATGTGGATGTGAACAGCAGAGGGAACCAACTTCTTTCCTGTATAATTGCAAGATTTTATGATTTCATATTTATTATAAAGTACATGTTAATCATTATTTGTGTCTTGGAAATACTGTGCTGAAGGTTCAAGGGTAGAGTCACACTGAAGCCAATGCTTTTTCTTAGCCGCAAGGATGCATGTGCTGTCCATTTGATTTGGACAGTCGTGTTCAGTCGATTTGGAAGTAACCAAATTGGACAGAATGCTTATTTTTAAATGTAATTATAAAACCATAAATCACAGAGAAACAGTCACATCTTCTAGTTTTAAGTAATATAACAGTCAAGGAGGCTGTTGTGTGATCATAGCCTGCACATGCCACATGCTGCTGCAAAATCATGAGGCTACCAGAATCACATTGACAGAATTAACAAAGCGTAAGATGGTGTGTAAAAGGCAGAGTTTGTGTGGTCACTGTGTATCTCAGTATGGCAAACAGAATCCCTGTCCCGAATTTGCCCCCTGGTTTTATTTGTTCTTAAATGCTCCAGCTGGGGATGCTGTAAAACACAGGGTGTGCTGTGCCCCCCCCCCCAGCACCCGGTGACGTGGCAGCCGTCCAAAGATGGGGATCGACTGATTGGACGGATCTTGCTAAACAAGCGGATGAAGGACGGGAGCGTGCCTCGAGACTCAGGTGCACTTCTAGGACTGAAGGTGAGCCTCATGATTCACTGAGTGTGGAGGCGGGACCCTGCCGCTTACCCAGTGGGGAATCTTCATTTTTATTGTTGTCATGGCAGTAAGTTGGTAAATTCTGTTGGTTTTTTAGAATAATTTGCATTCATAAATCTTGCTTGTGGAGTAGATCATTATCATATTTTAAGATTTTTTGTTTTATTTTTAGTTACTTTAGTCCTGTAAGTTTGCATATTTGTATTTAGGGATGTACACTGCCTATAGTTTTTCTTTTAACATTTTTAATATTTGTCAACAGTAGCAGTGCTGTATTTTTATGGTAATATACTAGATATTTTTTGGTATAGTTTATAAGCTGCTTCTGTGAGCTGTCTTCTGATGTAAAATCTGTTCTTTGAAACTACACTGTAAATCACGACACTCCAGGGAAATCCATTTTATATTTTCACATAACAGAGGATTTTGAATGTCTTGTAGGGAATACCCTTTCAGAAGTGTTGCACCTGCACACTCTGTTTGAAAATGAGCTTTCAAAAACATGTTTAGGAGGAGTTTTATAATCTAATTATAAAAGAGGAAAATATCAGGGAATGAAAGAGCTTTATGGAAGCCGCCATTCAGCTACAGTAAAGTCCTGTGAATCATTTATGTTCAGATTTGGCAGCACGTTGTTTTGAGAGTTATCTAAATGCCACAGACAGTCAGAGGTAATGCAGTGAGGCATGCTGGGAAAGCGCCTGCTGCTCCTGAGCACTTCCTGAATGGGCGGGGCCTCTTCCGCGCGTGCGTCCAGTCGGATGCTTGGGTTTCGCCCCCACTGCTCCTTTTTCCTGTTATCTGTTCAGCACCATGGACAGTTCCCACAGATTACCCCCCCGCCCCCCCATGTGGTGAATCAGACACATTGGCCAAAATTTAATTTTCTTTTTTCTTCATGTCACATTTGCTTAAAGAAAATCTCAAGGCCAAAACATGTAACACATTTTGTTATATGGTGCCATTAGGTTTCTTTTGTTTTCTTACTTGAATAAGTGTATTTATATGTATGTGTGTGTGTCTGTGTGTGTATGCGACATGTGCGCACGCGTGTGTGTGTACTGGATTTGTTTGCCTGTGACCGCCAGACCGGTTGCCGCACTGTGTCCTCACATATGTGTGTTCGCCACCAGGTGGTTGGAGGAAAGATGACAGAATCTGGTAGACTTCGTGCTTTCATCACAAAAGTGAAAAAAGGAAGCCTAGCAGATACTGTTGGACACCTTCGACCAGGTATTATAAAAAAAATAAATGAAATAAAACCTTTTTCATAGAAAAACATACGTTTTAATGTAGTCACACGCCGAATCTTTTGTTGTGATTCCCTGTGTTATTTGCTGTTGCCTCAATAATGTCTGTGCCGGTCTTTGCCGGTCTTCTGAGCTGACCCCTCCCCCCATGTGTCACCCCACAGGCGATCAGGTCCTGGAGTGGAACGGGAGGCTCCTAGAAGGGGCCACCTTCAAAGAAGTTTACAATATCATTTTAGATTCAAAGCCTGAGCCCCAGGTGGAGCTGGTGGTGTCTCGCCCCATTGGGTAGGTTATTATTATTATTATTATTATTATTATTATTATTATTATTATTATTATTTCATAATAACCAGAGCAATTTCATTCCTCATGCCATTATCCTCATAAATAGGTGACCAGTACCATCGGCTATGTTGCAGCGACTCTTGTCTTCACACCCGACCTCACATGTACAAATACTGAATTGTACCTTCATTCCCATATGTAATTCTCATTATTGCCGTTGACACTTTATGTATATTACTTGCCTTGCATTTAATCAGTATACAGCTTGTATATTGTCAGTAAATTATATGTTCATTGCCTGTATATTGTCTGTCTAGCTTGAGAGACACCATTAGCCAGAATCAAATTCCTTGTGTGAGTTAACATACTTGGCCAATAAATCTGATTCTAATAATAATAATCGAGGGTGTATCCCAGCCTTGCAGCCAGAGATAGTTTCCACCCCCCCCACATGACACTGAACAGTGTTTAGAAGATGGATGTGTAGAAAGATGGATGGATAGAAAGATGGATGGGTGGATGAATTTTCATTGACATTATTTTAATCATTATTTTGTACAACATGGTGGACGTGTACAGGAGCTAATCAGGTGAATCGCTTTGCTAAATGGTGAAATAGTGCATCTATAGTTGAACCTGTGTACTGCACTTTCCTAAATGAAAACAGAGGACCGGGTCTAACTGATGAACTAGAAAGTGGAAAACCTGCCATTTGCATATTCGACCAGCTTCGTATTGCATAGGAAGCTGATTGGACAATGAAGACAAATGGAGTGCTGTGAGTCATTAAAGCACTGTGTGCCGTGTGCTGGTGTAACACCTCCCTCCCCCTTTCCTTTCAGAGATATTCCCCGGATACCAGATAGCACACACGCACAATTGGAATCAAGTGAGTAGAGCTGCCTAAAAAAAAAAAAATCACATGAATTATTATGGGGAAATACTTAAAAGTTACTTTACAAATATTTATGATGGTGTATGCTTATGCTATAAAAGGATCCCCCACCCCTGGATAAAACTTCAGTTCACATTGAACATCTCATAATCATGTAACTCAACCTTTACCTGACTGGCGAAACCTGACCGCAGCATCAACAGGCAAAGGTGAGAATGTCCAACACCTCCTGTATTCGTTGCAGGTTCGAGTTCCTTTGAATCCCAGAAGATGGAGCGGCCCTCCATTGCGGTCACGTCTCCCATGAGCCCCAGCATGCTCCGAGACGCCCCTCAGTACCTGTCCGGACAGCTCTCAGTAGGTACCCACAATGCCCGCCTTGGGGCATTGAGCTGACACAGACGACAGGGCAGCTGGGCTACTTAAGTTGAAGGCCGGGAAGTGTGGTGTGAAAGTTGTTACACAAAGAACAGTTTTTGTAATAAAAAATGGTTGTAAAACGTTCCAGCTGGTGAATAATTTGAGGTCTACCTTTACCTTTGAGGTTGTTTTTTTTTTGGAAGGAGATTTAACCAAGAGGGCTGATACCTATATGCCCCCATCCATGTCGGGGGGCAATCTCAGCTGAAAGCCTGGCTACCAATGCAGCTCATGCCCTAACTAGGGGCCAACTAAGCCCTGTTCATGTTTTCGGCTGCGTCTAGTGCAGTGGAGGCCCGTACGATTTTTCCAGTCCTGGGGGATGTCACGAATCCCTCCCGAGGTCAGGACTGGTACTGGCTCGACAGCTCCACATCATTCGTTAAATGCTTATGCTGAAAGTATTGGCCTTGGAACGTTTTATAACCAGCAGGATAACAAAAACAAGCACAACATTCACAGCTCACCTCCAGTCTCCAGGAAACAGGAAGTGCAGATGTAGAGAAAGCAAAGCACGTTCTGTTATTGAAGACATCAGATCAATACCAATAGTCTAAAAGAAACTAAACAGCCTAAAAAGCCTCTTTTCCGCTAGACTTGATTTTTTTTGTTTGTGTATTTGATTGTGGGTTTTTGTCATTTGGATTTTGTTTTATTGCATTTTTTTCTTTGTTTCTTTGTTCTTTTCTTTGTTTAATTGTGCCTTTACCCAGAGCCAAAGCCTTAGTAGGAGAACTACGCCTTTTGTCCCTAGGGTCCAGGTAACGACCCCTGTCCAAGCGACAGACGTCTCTGTATGGTCTCTCTTTCCCCATACTGTCTTTCCATCTCCTTTTCATTTCTGCATTTTTTGCAAAATGCACAGGAATATGGCCGAGCTCAGTGTGTCTTCCCTGAGTTTATGCGTAAAAGTGTGGTGCTTCTGATCATTATTATCGTTCTGATTATGATTGTTATTATCGCCGCCATCTTCGTGATACATTCACATCCATGTTGCCGGGAGCCTGGAAGTGTCTGCATGAGTAAAGACCTCATTAAAAGAGTTTAAAGAGACGTTCCGTCATGGCCGGCGACAGCGCAGGGACTGAGGTGACGAGGTCACCCAAAGACCTGATCTATGTGGAAGTCACATGGACTTCCACGTTGTTTCCTTTAAAGAAAATGAAAATGATGTATTTACATATGCACACACAAAAAAAAAAACAAAACGGCCATGGAGTACTGAGTCTCTTTAAATGCCCTGGTATTTTTTGAAGATCCTAGGGATAAACAGATGGGATGCTTCTCCTCGGGCCATGACACATCTCAGCAGAAGACGTTACACTTCCTTTTTCACTCGGGCACGGCTGTCCTCCGTGCCATCCCTTTCAGCGGCATGTCTGGCAGCAGGCACATGCTTGGGCCCCAGAAAGTTGCGCCACATGCCGTGAGCGGGCATCCCTCCCACTGTAAATATACAAGCCACCAGTCGCCGTCACTGTTTCCAGGGTCCGTCTCCACGCTGTGTCGCGCAGTGTTAGACATTGGGAAGTTTATGAAGGAAAGTGACTTTTCTAGAAATTTCTCCTGTTTGAAGCCGATGCTGAGGGGCAGCACCCTTAAAAGGCATATGAAATGACTAGAAGGTTCTTTTGCTGTAAAATACCGCAGGTTTCACATTATATTGAAGGTGTTACTGTCCATCATGGCTTTGAAAGGACTGTCCAATTAGAGAAGCAGTGAGTATTAGTGGGTGGAGAGGCTGATGGATATAGGATGGAGCTAGCGATGGCGGACAGAACCGTAACCGCGGGAGATCAGAACATGAGGCTTCGAGAGCATTGTAGGAGATGGATGGTTTGTGTGCCTTAACAGGAGGTCACTGCAGATCACTCTAAGGCAGCTACCCCCCCCCCCCCCCCCCCCAGCAGAAACACATATACACACATGCATACACATGTTTGTATTCATATCTTTGTGGGGACTCTCCATTCATTTCTATGGGAAAAACCATATTCCCACCCAGGGGCGCTGCTAGAGATTTTGGGCCCCATGAAAGCATATCATATTAGGCCCCCCAGTCTAAACCAATCCAGTTATTTTCCTAATTTTTTAGGGCCCCTTTCGCTCAGGGGCCCTTGGAATCGTCCTAGCTTTCCTCCCCCTTACGGCGCCCCTGTTCCCACCAATGACAACCCCTACCCAGCGCTAACCTTAACCATTTGTAACCAAACAAAATACAAGACTTTTGACATTTGTACTTTTTTGATTGCATTCACAGATCTTTGTGGGAACCTGAGAAATGATCCCCACAACATAAAAAAACAGGTTTTTATTACATTGTGGGGGACATTTGGTCCCCACAATGTCGTATAAACCTAATTTACATACACACACACACACTTTCTTAGGTTAGACTATTTAACAGCTGAGGTCAGGTTTACTTTAATACTCTAGCTATACATCACATTTTATAGTTTGTACTGTTTTCACAGTACAACTGCTTGACAAGGAAAGAGACATAGCTAATCATTTAAATGACAAATGGAATCTTCTCTCCATTACATGTCTGACTTGTTTCACATGCCAAAGCCTCTGCACACTCACCATTGAATTCATCTTGCCATCAAGGATGTCTCCGGTGACAGATATGGTGACAGAAATGTCTCTCTGTATGCTTGTCGTCATGGAAATGGATAGACGGAGCACTTTAGATCGTACCCGAAATTCAGACAGCCTGGCAAATATATTGGCAACATTCTGAAAGCTTACATAACAGGCTTTGGGTTGACATGTCCTTCGGTACAATTTGTTTGACCTTTAGACCTTCCTAAAGTCTGTGGTCCCTGGTTGTGGTCTGTTTTGAATGCTTTGCTGTGTTGCATGTTTTGGATATCAGCTGCTGTTGAAGTGTTGAAACTTCCCCACCCCCCGCCCCCCCGCACAACCTCCACTTCGGTGAGTTGTAAGCACGTCCCGCTGGTCGCTTACAACTCCCCTTCTTACGGCAGAAGTGAACGAGGTCAGCTTGTCGTGTGACGGGCTCGCGCTGGGCTTCGGGGTGACCTGCTGCTCAGTCCTCACTTACCCCCTGTCTACCTTCTCAGTCACTGGAGCATGACTACTGTCCACACACACGGTCATTGGTACAGGTGTTAGGCACCATGGACTTTTCCTGAATAGTCAGGAAAAGGAAAAAAAAGCCTGATTCTTGTTAATACGCTAATTTGGAGGGGGGTGCCTGATACTTTTGGGTGAGATCGGTTTGTCCTCCGTTGTCATGTCAGGTCTGTGTCCAGCGCATGTGACGTTCTCAGATTTTCGTCCCGATGACTTCTCCTGTAGGTCTTTTCCCCCCATAGCCTCCTTTGCCCATGCCGTTTGAGATGGTCTTGATCCCACCGCATGCGTCGTTTAAAAGCTCGTCACTGAAGCAAAAGACCATGAGTCAGACGTGGTGATCTCTAGGGAGCAGTGTCTACCACTCCCCACCCCTATCCAACCCAGAAGATGAGTACCACCGGGAATACCATCTCTCTGTTACCTGTGGGGGCAATGTGAAAATTCCTCTAGAATCCTCCCCCCAAAATTAACAAGCTGATTAGTATTAATGGCTTTAAAAAGGGTGATTAAGTAATTGTAAAATTATAACGTGTAAAACCTTTTTGTTATTGCATTGATGATATATGTGAATTATTAAGAATAAGGTGATGCTGACTTCATTAATTAGTTACTAGGAAGTTATTTTGAAGTTAGTTATTTTATACAAAAATAAATTACACTCGAGTAAGAATCAGAACTGATAGGAAACGAATACTGTTGAGGTAAGTACTTTCAAAAATGGATCTGTAATAGCCTAGGAAGCATATAGATCCATTGACATTTCCTGAAACTTTCTGCTATCAAAAATCCTATGCTTGTTCCAGCTCTTGGTTCTGAATGCTAATCTGTGCCCTGCTAATGTCATGGCCGTCGTCATATTTCACCAAACATGCGCTTCGGAGAGGCTGCGCTAAGCATGTGACGTGACAGGCTGGTGTCAGGTAGCTCCAGGCCATTTGTGCTCCCCCCCCC